AACACAGTGTTACAACAATTTCCAATGATTTGTTGCTACACCCATAGATCAGTACATCTGTCAACCCACATCAGAGAAGCTTCTTCTTGCAGTGGATGGCAAATAACAGACCTTCAACTGGTGAGTAAGCAGACAATAAGAGACTGTGGAGTGTTTAGCACTAAATGGAAAATACCTATTACAGCCCTTTTCCCTCAGGCTCAGGGAGCATCAGTGAAGAAGGGGAAGAAAGATTGTAAGAAGTGGAGATGGTGGATAATTTCAAGGAAACAGTGTTTTCCAGACACAACAAAGCAGTTATCCATAAAACTCACAGTAACTGTGACAGCATGCACAAACATGTGCAAGCTCAAACCAGACAAAAATCCCAAAATGGAGGGGGCAGGAAGCAGGCAAGAAATCCCTCCAGTAGCTAAAGAGCTATTGACATTTGGTAGGTGCTAAGAGAGTCAATATTCAGGCTGGAGAGATGGCTCAGAAGTTAAGAGCACTGATTGCTCTTCCAGAGGTCCTGAGTTCAATTCCTAGCATCTACATGGTGGCTCACAACCATCTGTAATGAGATCTGGCACCTCTTCTGTATAATAAATAAATAAATAAATAAATAAATAAATAAATAAATAAATAAATAAATAAATAAATAAATAAATAAATAAATAAATAAATAAACAAACCTTTAAAAAAAGAGAGTCAATATTCTTTAATGGAATAATCCATGCTAAGCCCCACTTCAGGGCAAGCCCCACTCCCCAGAGTAGATAGACTGACAACACAAATTGGCCTCCATGGGTTTTAATAAAAAAAGAGAAGAGGAAGAAGGATGAAGGGGAAGAAGTGGCACTGATCAAAGTTGGGTGGGTAAAGAGGTTAGGGTAGATCTGGAAGATGGCAGTGAGGGGCTTGAATATGATCAAAATTTTGATTATATAAAATTCTCTCAAAAAAAAAAAATTCTCAAAGAGTTAATAAAAATATTATTTTAAAAAGAAAGGAAATATCTAACAGACATTTAGTAAAGAAGAGAGACAACAGTAAGTTTATGAAAAAGTACTCAGGAAAGCACAGTAAAGCAACAAGATGCCACTATACACCTAATAAAATGGCCCAAAACCCAGAACACAACCGACCAAAGCATGTGAAGATGAGGAATGGCTGAACTGCCATTCCCTGTGGTGGAGATGCAAAACTATATAGTCATTCTGGAGGACAGGCAGATGTTTTCTTACAAAATATATCCTTACCTTAAGATCCAATAACCTTGCTTCTTGGCTTTACTCAAGTTAAAATTTTACATGCACACAAAAAACTAGCATAAATATTTGATCAAACGTCATGACTGAAATAACTTGGGGAAGAAAGGTTTATTTCACCTTACAGTTTATAATGTATCATCCAGGGAAGTCAGAAAAGGAACTCAAGGCAAGAACCCGGAGGTAGGAGCTGATGAGGCCATAGAGGAGTGCTGCTTACCTGCTTGCTCCTCATGGCTTGCTCAGTTTGTTTTCTTATACACCCAGGACTACTTGTCCAGGGGTAGCACTACCTATGTCAATTATCAATCAAGAAAATGCCCCACAGACCAGGCCAATCTTACAGAGGCATTTTCAACTAAGGTTCTCGTTTCTCAGATGATTCTAATTTGTGCAAATTTACAAGAACCTAGCCAGTACCATATTAACAGCAGCTTTATTCATAACTCCTCAAACTTGGAAATGGGTGAGATATTTCTTAGCAGAGGTAAAGGTTAATTTTTTGTTTTTCAATTTGATTGAGTTAAAGGATGATCAGATAGCTGTAATAGCACTATTTCTGCATGTGTCTAAGAGGGTATATTTAGAACAGATCAGCTCTTAAACAGTGGACTAAAGAGGTTAAGTCCTCACACTATATGGTGTACACTTGACTCTCTTCTGGAGCTAGGGCAATTCTTCATCCCTTCTGTATCAAAACCCTGGGTTCTCAGGCTTCCTGGCTTACACCACCCTCCAAAGATACAAAACCAAATGTGAAACCAAACATAAGTCAGGGGCTCTGTGTGGTGATGATATGTCAGTGCATGGTAATCTACTGTTAACAAGTGTGTTGCTATGGTTTAGGATATAAACAGTGAGAGACTGTAAGCACATACTGGGACAGGGGCCATACGGAAACTCTCTGTACCTTCATGTCAGTTTTCTTAAGAATTAAGTCTTTTAAAAACTAAGCCCACTAAATTATTCTAACATTGCAGGAATTGTTCAACATTAAAAGATCTCATACTATCATCCCTCTGTATCCACGCATCCATCCATCCACATCCATAAACTGACCAAAACAGACTTAAAACATTCTTTTTTAAAAAGCCCAGTCTGTACTGAACATGTGTAGATTTTTTGTTGTTATACTGTAGTGCTTAGCAAGGACAACACCAATTCACTGTATTATCAGTAACCTAAAGGTGATTTTTAAAGTTCACACGAGGTATGCGTAAGTTACATGCAAGTTCTATTATAGCACTTATATAAAGAATTTAACCATCAATTTATAGCCCTTTCACGTTGATCTTCCTCCAATTCCCTCCTCACCTCTTCCCCTGCTTCCCTCCTGCCGTTCTCCTTCAGTCTCTCTTCTGCTTTCTAGTCACATGAATTCTATCACTTTCATGGTTCATTTCCCCATTCTATTATTCTTGAAATGTTTTTTATATTTTAAAAGTCCTTATAGTTATCAGTTATTTGTAATTTACAAAGGCAATAAGCCATATGGTACAAGGAGCAGTAAGGACTTCCTAAACTGTAATCCCCATCACTGAAATGCCATCTCATACACACAGAGTTGCTTGGCACATTTCTAAAATTCCGAAAAAGCTTTCCACACACTGCTTTTTACAAATGAACTCAGTCTACCTGTCCTGCACGCCTATCCTGCCTTGCACACAGGTACAGTTCTGTGTGTATTCAACACAGAGGATTCTTCTGTTGAGGAAGAAATGATTCCAGTATGTAAAAAGAAAGAAATGAATGGAGAAGTGCTTGGAAAGACAGATCCAAAAACAAGGCTGCACAGCTAAGAGTGAATAGCTGTGAGCACACAGCTCGAAGTCACTGTTCCAGACGCAAAGGCAGCTTAGCTGGCTTCATTTGACTGACAGACCAAGTAGTGTCGCGTCTACCCCAGTGCACTCTAGGTGCTGGCTTGTGATACATGTTCATACTGTTACAGCACATACACAGTGTCTAAAACTGATGACTGGGGAAAATAAAGCAAATGTTTTAAAATTTTTAAATATGAGCTGGAGACTTAACTCTGTGGCAGAGAGTCTATATATCATGTGGGAAGCACTGGGTTCAATTCCTAGCACCATCAAAATAAAAATGATAATCTGAAATAAATTTCAAAAAATTAAATTTTATTATTTTTATGTATAGTTTTATACATAATTATAAATTATACTAACACTGACCCATTTTACTAACAATAATAAAAATTAGAGTAATGGGCTAGAAATGTATTCAGTAACCCTTTCATTTACTATAATATCTTAATTCTCAAAATCATTTATAAACCTAAATCCTAGTCAAGTAAGCATTTGGTATTTAAGCCTATGTAACAAGCCCACAAAAAGCAACACTCTAGAAGTGTATACATAAATTAGCAATTTAGGATTTTGAAAGGCTCTCTGCAAAGGAGAATGCAGCTATACAGCATGATTTGCTTCCCACTAAGACTGCCTAGTGAAGTGCCTGTAACAGTTGATTCTCTACTTCATGCAAAAACAGCACAGGTTACCAAGATGTCCTAGAGAGGAAAACAACTTAGGAGCACGCTTGTTAACAGCAGTCTGAGCAACCAAAAACTTCCCAGGAAGAAAGAAAATGCACCTCACTGTGACAGGGCAAGGCAGTGCAGAGGTTCCTCTATCTTGTATTCTTGCTGAGGCCATTGTAGGTTTAACTAGAATTTGACCTCCTTGATAAGAAGCCAGGAGGAAAATTATACAACTCTATTCTAGGAACCCAAGGTCAAGATGCCTCAGTTAACTTATCTCAGGGTCTGTTAAACTGCTTGCTTATACAGGACCTCCTCTTCCAGCTATCTGCTTATCTTAGCATCTGTTAAACTGCTTGCTTGTACAAAACCTCCTCCTGTAGCTGTGGAGGAAGATATCAGGATGTGGGTTTTGCCTTAAAAAAAAAAAACAAAAAACAAAAAAACACCTTATTCTATACGTTTGGTGCTGCACTTGGGTCTCCCAAACAACTGAGTGTATTCCCAGCCTCCTGGAATAAAGACTTTCAATTGGCTATAGACTGAGTCTAAGTGGTCTTCTCTGGTAGGCATCCCATAATAACACTAAGGGCTAGGGATGAACCTTGACACTCCAAGACAGACCTTCATTTATACCTGGGAAATACCTGTGGCTTTCAAATGAAGCAAATTTCCAAAACAATGTCTAATTTGAAAACTGTGAATTTGGGTAAATGTTCTTTCTTTTATGTAGTAAAGTTTCACAAATGATGGTTTTCTTTTGTTTCTGGAAGGCATTTGTACCTCAAACAGAACTGTCTGTTTTAGTCACTGTTCTATTGACACAGCAAATCATGGCCAAGGCAACTGACCAAAGAAAGCACTTAATTTGGAGGTCACAGTTCCAGGGGATTAGAGTCCACAATGGCAGGGACCATGGCAGCAGGCACAGCACTGGAGCAGAAGCTGGAGCTTACATATGATCCACAAGCGCAGGCAAAGAGGGAGCTAACTGGAAATGGTTTGGAACCTCAAAGCCCACCCCTAGTGACACACCTCCTCCAACAAGGCCACACCTTCTAATCCTTCCAAAACAGTTCTACCAGTTGGGGACCAGGCTTTCAAACACATGAAGTATGTGGGCCACTCTCATTCAAATGACCATAATCTCTATCCTTACACTGTAGGCTTCTAATCACCTGGCTCTAATGAACTGAATAAAAGAGCAATCCCAAACATACCCAGCACTCAGCTGGAGTAAGTCTCACATTTACCTTTCGAGGCTATCCTCTTCCAACGTGATCTCCATAAATGTCTTCAGCTTTCTGTTCACAGTCTCTACAGCCTCCTTCAGCTTTGCACTTCTATGTTTACCTGTAAGAAGATTGCAGGGAAAAGAAAAGCTCTCAACATCACTACATATCCACATACTCTGCTGTGCACATGGGGTCAGTTCTTTGTTGTTTTGTTTTTCCCGAGCTAACCCTGGCTGAGTGCAGGACAATTACCCCTTCCACAGAGATGCTGTGAGAGTGATCTGCTATGTGCGAAGGAGTGACAACCAGCACAAATCAGATTCATCCACTGCTTACATACTGGCAGGTACTCAGCACCCCACATCCATGCTTACATCGCCTCAATGAGGCATGTCCTTTGCTCTGCAGAACACATGTGCTCTGTGCCTGTAAATCAGGGAAAGTCACTCAGACAAGCCTTTTATGGAGCCCACACGGGGCCTAAAAACTTTTAAAAAGCATCATTGACTAAGCACCCTAACACCAAAATCTGTAATCTGCAACATTCTAAAATTCAAAACTTTTTGTCCCACTTATGTGTTTCAGATTTTGAAGTATTTCAGATTTTAAATTTAGGGATTCTCAATCAGTATGTTTCATGTAAATAGTGCAAAACCTATGAACTCCCAAATCTGAAAGAATCTTTGTCCTAAACATGTGAGTGAAAGGTATTCAAGCTTTGTAAATCTTCACAGATGTGATAGGCATCCTAGCTTATTGGATAGGAGCGATCTTTACCTGCAAAGTACTAAAGTTGAAAGACATTTTAACATCAGTAGAACTTAACAAAAAATATCGAAACATGAATATGATCAGCCTGAAGGGATGCCACTGTACTTCACACTGAGCATCTTACAGGTACTGCCAACTATTTTTCAGTACTACTTTCACAGGTTAAGTATTCAAGAGGCATAATGCCAACACGTATACTATTTAAAAAATAAACTTTGGGATAATTTTGGTACTGGATTTCGATGTTGACCCAACTCCTCAGTTTGAGCACTATTCTTGCTTCCGTTTCCTGAGTAGCTGGGCCTACAGGCCTGTGCAACAGGGCTCATCAGATTTTTAAACATAAGTAACACAGGGCAAACCAATAGAAATTCAATTCTGAGGTGGGCTTAGTGGCCCAGACCTGTAATCCCAGCAACTAGCAAAGCTAAGGCAGAAAAACCCCAAGATCCAACTGGGTTGCAGAATGAATTCAAGGCCAGCCTAGGTAAGTTAGTCAGACCCTGTCTCAAAATTAAAAAGGGAGCTGGTGATAAAGTTCGGTGATAGATCACTTATCTACGCTGCACAAGGCAAGAGGGAGAGGAAAGGGGAAAGAAGAACGGAAGGAAGGAAGAAGGGAAAAAGAGGAAAAGGAAAGAAGGGAGGGATCCAATTCTGAAGTACAGTATATTTACATGTGCCCAATAGTGAAGTGAAAGGTAGACAGACCTACAATGCAGAACAGGTAAGCTCATGCAAAGACAGGGCCAGTGGATGGCACTGTACTCAGAGAACACCAGGGAACAAGGGTGAAAAGGCTGTGGGAAGCCTTTTCTGTCCTGGCAGAGGAGAGGGTGAAACAGGCCAAATTCCCAAACATCTCTAACATGAGCAACAAACAAGGACACGATCAGTAACACCAGATGAAGGAGAGAAAATGTAACCAACCTTTGTTAATAATCAAAATAATATGCAGAACAGCTGTGAGGCACACAATGCCTTCAATATCACCAGAGGTTACACACGCCTTTAGTTCATCCAAAAATGACCTATGAAATCAGCAAACATCTGAAATCATTCCACATCCCAATACCTTATAGAAAAATAAACGTAGGCAAGGTTTACCCAAAATCATAAACACCACTTTTCAGGTAACATGAGAAATTGTTTGAGGCCCTCCCCTACATGTATTTTATATTTTTTATATATATCAGTTGTTGCAGGTGAAATGTTAAAACCAGATCAGGAACATTGTGGCCTTTGAAAAACACTGTGGCTATGTTCTACAGTCCAATGTACATAAGAGATATTTAATAGGCTGCTGAAAGGCAATCCACAGCTCTCAGAATGATGCAATTAAGCATTCATGAGACATATCCACACTAAAGAGTGTCATACATGTTCAAAGTCTGAGAAGCAAATCCCTTTGTATCCTCAGTCCCCTGTGCATTACTACAAACCCTAGAATCCCAGTCGTGATAAATGGATGGTAGAACCAAGAGTTGTTTATGTGAAATAATTTGAATTCAGAATCTATAGAAATGAAAACTTTTGTGTTACTGGAACAAATGATGCTGATTTGCTGGAGCTGAAGAATCTGCTAAGATAAATAAGAGACAAGCATCACTGAGGTGAAAGCTAGAAAGCACTTCCACAGTCAGTACACAGAAGTTCAGGGTCTGGTTGGGGGAGGGGTGGAGCTGGAGCAAGGCTGCAACCCAAGCTGGTAGCCAAACATGGTAATGTGTAAGAGTTCCCACAGGGAACTAGTTTGAAGGCATAAAGGAGTCACAAAGAGGAGCCAAAGCTTGGCATCAAAGGTTGGAATCCTTGGAGAGAGGCCAGGAGGACATGGTGAAGGTAAAGTCTCAGCTGCAAAGGAGACTCAACATATTGGAGATGTCAGGACCTTGGGACAACTACCCAGGACAGCAGCAGGTATTGCATAGAACCAGCCTGAGCCTACTAGACAAGCTGTATGTGGGGTTGCCCAGGTCCTTTGGAGCCCAGTAAATCTAGATTTGGAGCTACACTGACAGATTTTGGTTTTGCTGAAGTGTTATTGCTTTTATGCCTTGCCTCTTCCTTCTTGTAATAACAAAAGCATATAACTTGCTTTTTTGTTGTTGTTGTTTTGTTTTTCAGGAGCCCACAGTTAAAGAAATGTTACTTTTTTTAAAACAAATAAACTGAACTTTCAATGTGTTGAAATTTTAAAGTACCATGGGACTTTTGAGGTTACACTGGGACTTTTAAAGTTATACCATGTTTTATATTGTGATAATAACATGCAATCTTGGGGATAAACAAGAAAGGAAAGGTTATGGTTTAACAGTGATGTGTGTGTATGTCAAGCTGACAATGGGTCAATTTTGCTACCAAGTTTTTGTCGACACACTGGAATCATCTGGAAAGACAGGACCTTAATTGAGAAAACACCTCCATCAGATTGACATGTGGGCATAACTATGGTACATTTTCTTGATTAAGATTGATGTTGGAGGGCCATGCCAATGTGGGTGGCACCACCCTGGGGCAGATGGTCCTGAGCTGTATAAGAAAGCAAAATGAGCAAGTCATGGAGAGCAAATCAGTAAGCACTGTTTCTATTTGGTCTCTGCTTTCAGTCCCTGGCTTGGCTTTTCTCCATGATGAACTATAACCTGAAAACCAAATAAATCCTTTCCTCCTCAAGTTGATTTTGGTTAGTGTTTTATCAAAGCAACAGAGAAGAAAACTAGAACATACAGTAATAAGTATTTTTGTACACACTTTTTTTCTTGTCTAACAGAATTTAGTTGTGATAAATATAGCTAAAAACTATTTAAATGTATGTAACAGTTTATAAAAAGTAATGGTTCTTTATAAAAATTTAACATAAACATTTTCTATCACTCATAAAATGAAGAAAAAGTCTATGGAATGTTTTTGTCAGGGGGGTAAAAATACCTTTGAAAATCTGAGAATAAAAAGTAACAGATTACAAGGCACTGAGAAAAAATACAAATAGGGCTGTACCAAGATCAGAGAGAGAGGACAATTACCTGACCACATCCGAAGACCTCATTATTACTCCCACTAAACACCTTGAAAATGGAGGAAGGTCAGCAAGACACTGTGGTGTGGTCAGTTCTTCTATATTAGAGACCTAGGAAAATTTCAGATCAGTACATTATAAATAGCCTGGACTCACAGCTTGGTTCACATTAACTTAAGACTCTCTTCTATCTGACCAAAGCATTCCAGAAACTCAAAGGAACAAGCTTTATTCACTACAGTTAATTATGAATGCAGTATTGTTTTGCACAAGAACATTTTAGTCTGTGAAACAGAAATAAAGGACATGTCACTTAGCAGGCCTTTTGTCAAATGGCCTTTATTTAATTTGATATCATCTATACACAATATACTTTTATGTCAAGTCAATTTAACCAGTTCTTCTCAGCCCAGATTAGAATCTCAGTCTTAAAACACTGGTTTTTGGTCTAAAGCAGCAGTTTTCAACATGTGGATCATGATCTCTTTGGGGATTCAAACAACCCCTGGAAAACACAGATATTTACATTGTAATTCATAACAGCAGCAAAACTGCAGGTACGAAGTAGCAATGAAAATAATTTTATGGTTGGGGGTCACCACAACATGAGGAACTGTGTTAAAGAATTGCTGCATTAGGAAGATTGAGAATGGCTGCTCTGGAGAAACCAAGTACGATCCATTTTCCACAGAAAAGGTAAAATGGAACAGTAAAAGCTAGGCATGGTGGCTCATGCTTGTGATCTCAGTACTGTGTAGGCTGAGGTAGGGGATTATCACGAGTTCCAAAGCCAGGATGAGCTAAAGTGTGAGTCCCTGTCTTAAATGCTAATGTGACCAGCTAAAGACCAAGCACATCTGTAGCTTTAACATCAGATGATCTGTAAGCACTCCTCATGAAAGGAAGACACTGTTAAGCTGTTTTATAGAACTATCCCTGTGGCACACTTACAACACCTTAACTGTAAAGACAAGTCGGCAGTACAGGCTGAAAACAGAGGCCCTGTGCACACATGAAGCTTAAGGGAACCAGGCTAGCCTCAGAGCTAACTACGCAGACTTGGTGAAGCATTATGGAAAACAGATGTTTCCTAATAGGACAGTCAGAAATAAGATGTCAAAAGGAGACAGTAATTTTAAATGTGTATATAACTCAAGAAAAGGAAAAGTGAAAAAAGACAAATCCTCAGTTCAGTCCCACTACTTGGCTTACTGCGAGGCACAGGGCAGTACAGAACACATGACTGTGTTGTGACAGGCAGGGACAGGGTCTGGGTTTGTCCAAAGGCCACCAATGCTTTATAACTTCAGCCATATAGCTTTCTGAAATTAGGTCCTTAGTAATACTAAGTTTATGCTTTATGTCACCTAGCAAGTTAAAAATTACTTTCTTTTTTTTTTTTGGCTTTTTGAGACAGGGTTTCTCTGTGTAGCTTTGCACCTTTCCTGGAACTCACTCTGTAGCCTAAGCTGGCCTCGACTCACAGAGATCCACCTGGCTCTGCCTCCCGAGTGCTGGGATTAAAGGCGTGTGCCACCACCGCCCGACTAAGAATTACTTGTTTTTTTTTTTTAAGATTTATTTATTATGTATACAGAAGAGGGTACCAAATCTCATTACAGATGGTTGTGAGCTACCATGTGGGTGCTGGGAATGAACTCAGGACCTCTGGAAGAGCAGTCAGTGCTCTTAAGCCATCTCTCCAGCCCCAAGAATTACTTTCTTAAACCAAACAATCTCTCTTTACACTTTGAAGGACAGCCATGAATTCTAATTAAAATTTTATAATTTAATTAACATTTTTATTTGTCATTTTATATTACAAAATGTGTATAATTAAAATAACTTCTCAGACTGGAGAAATGGTTAAGAGCACTTGTTTCTTTTGCAGAGGACCTAGGTTCAGCTCCCAGCATCCACCTGGTGGTTCAAAATCATCTGTTAACTCCAGTTCCAGGGAATCTGATGCCCTCTTTTGGCCTCCACAGGCCCCAAGCATGCACACTGGGACGGACGGACACACACACACACACACACACACACACACACACACACACACACACGCAGGCAAACACTCATACACATAAAAACAAAGTAATATACACTTGATCATGAGCTGTACAGCTGCATGGTGACATTTTGGCAGAAAGGGACGGTCTATCTGACAATGTCCCCAAACACTATCCTAAGCATGCTGGCATCTGTATAGGCATACTCAGGGTGTGGCACAGTGAGAATCTGCATGTTCATTTCTCAGAGTGCCCATGGTTAAGCAGTACAGACATTTCTACAAGTAAATGCAATTCAGCGAGTCCTTCTTTTTATTCTGAGTAAACCCACTGCTACTTCTTTCCTTTACTACCTATGTCCACATGGGACATCACGGAGCTGAAGAAGAAAAACAGCACCCTGCATGCTCTCTATGGTATAGTGTCACTTTCTGTGTCAGCTCAAATGATCACACTGATCAGATCAATTTTTAACCAAACAGACTAAATCTGTGTTAGTAAGTCTTCCATTCCCCTTTAGTCATGATAGAAAATAAGATACCAAAACTTCAAGTTTCTGGATCTAGAGGGATGGCTCAGCTGCTAAGAAAGCTTCTGCTCTTATAGAGGACCCAGGTTCAGTCTCCAGAACCCACAAAGCAACTGACAACAGCCTGTAAATCCAGTTGCAGAGGACCCAATACCCTCTTCTGGCCTCTGTGGGCGCCAAGCATGCATGCAGTACACATACACACATGTAAAACACTTATACATAATAAGTAAATCTTTAAAAAATTCAAGCTTTCTATAGTTAAGAAATGAGAAGAAAAAAGAAAAGGGCATGCAGAGATATAAACCACTGCACACCAAAACAGAACAGTCCTGCACTGTTTGCCCAACTATCCTGATTTCTTCTCCAGTAAAGAAGAATCTTGAGAAACTATCAACTCACTCAAAACTCTCAGAGCCAACAGACATATCCACATCATGGGGCCTAGTTCCATCTCAGGAGTGGCAACACCCTCAGCATATGCTCCACCGCTGCCACATGGCTCTAGACATCCAACCAGCTGAACGGCAAGGGACTGAAACCGACAAACAGTCCTCACCAAAAGCTTGCACTAAAAAAACCCTAATCACATACTGTGAGCAGAACACAGCAACTAGCAGTTTCAGAGTCAATATACCTCACCTTCCGCAGCTGATGACTTATTTCAACCACAGGCGCAGCAATCAATGTAGAAAGAACACCATGGTGGACTGCAGTGTCCTTGTACCAGGATTGGATAGTGTTGATAAATTCATGAAGAGGGGTCTGGACAGAATGAAAGAGCTACAAAAAAATCACATTAGTCACTGTCAGTACAGCTAAAAATCAGTTTTCAAAAAACAAGTACCAGATGTGGTGGCTCACATTGTATCTAAGAAAGCACCAGGTGTGGTGGCTTACATCTGTATTGAAGAATGCACCAGGCTAAGTAAGGAGGAATGAGGTGAGTTTGAGGCCAGCCTGAGCTACAGAGTGAGAGCTTGCCTCAAAAATAATAATAAAATGACTGCTAGGTATAGAGGCACACATCTTGGGAGGCAGAGGCAGGCGGGTTTCTGTGAGTACAAGGCCAGCCTGGTCTATACAGCAAGTTTTAGGACAACCAGAGCTCCATAACAAAAAGAAGCTGTCTCAAAAACAGCAACAACAAAAACCAATAAATTAAAAAGAATGTAAGTATCAATAAGGAAGGATGGAAGAAGGAAAAAATGACATTAAAATAAAATCATCAGCTCAAGCAGTGCTTCTGAATGACACTACTCAATGGATGGTGGAAGACATGACAGAGGGTCTAAGACTGGGCATAAACTACAGAAACAGATCACAAACACTTGAAACAACTATGAACTGGGCTAGGAAAAACTATGTCAACAATGCTCAAGTATTTCCATCAGCTAAGTCTAGAATAAAATTGAGAATCTTTGATATTTCATAAACAGCCTTCCATTTAAACATTTTTTTTAATTAAAACAATAATAGCTCATTGATTAAAAAAAAATGGCCCTCTCCGCTAACAGCATAACTTATTCAGGAACAGGCTTTACAGTTTTTAGAAGCAGGTCTAGTTCCTTTGATTTTTTTTTTGTTTTTTTTTTGTTTTTTTGTTTTTTTTTTTTGTTTTTCAAGACAGGGTTTCTCTGTGTAGCTTTGCGCCTTTTCCTGGAACTCAAACTCACTTGGTAGCCCAGGCTGGCCTTGAACTCACAGAGATCCGCCTGGCTCTGCCTCCCGAGTGCTGGGATTAAAGGCGTGCGCCACCACCGCCCGGCTCCTTTGATTTTTATAACCCGGTTCCTCAATCATCTCAGCCTATGAGCTTTCCACCATCAACAGAAAACCATGATCCCTTCAAGGTGCTTCTAAATGGGGACATTAACAGAAGGGAGTTAGCACTCTCCCGGCAGTGACTGTCCCTCTGAAAAGAGCATTTTCACAAACACATTCTTTCTGGGAAGCTCTGGAATCACAGCTGCACAGATCAGTCCTGTTTACAGTCCTGACATTCATGGGACCTCAACCCCTGAGCTCAAGACTACGAGTCTACATGCCACCAAAGAATGCAGGCATGCTTAGCTTTAGGGCTGGCATCCAATCACCGCTTAACACCCACAGCAGATAGCACAGTGAAACCTGGCCAGTTCAAGCATAATACCGGCAGACTTTCTTCTGGCTGCTTCCTGAAGGTCCAGGCAACACATTCCAACATCTTCTGAAATACTTCCTGGACTGAGTCAAACAGCATTGTGATTTCTTCATCTGAATCTGTTTTCTGAATCATGGAGTTTCCAGTTATCTCCTTCAGAATGCCAAGAAGTAATGAAATGTAAAAAAATCCCTTCACTAGAAAGAAAAGGAGAACCATCAATTACCTACGCACATATTCAGCTGAAATTGTATAACACATGTACATGATGGTAATGGAAGAACCTATTACCACTGAGTCAGCAGGAAACATCTTGATCAGATTGATCCAAACTAGAACCAAACTCAAAATGTTTTCTCTACATAACTATAAAACTGACTTCTTCCCCAGCAGCAATAGCACAGCTGACTCTGTCAGTAAACTAAGAACTAGTTCACTGCATGTGGACAACAACTAGCAATGTGACTCCTGTAACACCTGAATTAGAAAACACAGACTTTCTCTTATATTAATACTTATGTAAAAACCCAGCAAGGACAAGTCCAACCTCTCATCTCTCAGTATCATTTGATAACGCCATAGATTTCTGATACCTAGTTGTAGCCTATTGGTTTCCTTTAGTGTGTGTGTGTGTGTGTGTGTGTGTGTGTGTGTGTGTGTGTGTGTGTGTGTGTGTGGTGTGTGTGTTTTAATTACGTCCCTGACTCGGTACATAATCTGGTAAAATTTATTCTGTATGTAAGCCTAACACTGTTCCTCCATTTTTATTTCCAATCCATCTTGCCAGTAAAAGCTACAAAAACAGAGACGGTGGCCTGCCCCAGTGAGCTTCAGGGCACCCTATGTCACCCTGCCCCACTCTAACACATGGCTCAGATGCTGATCAGCCCTTAACTTCTGGGTACCAGACAGCAAGCCGCCCAGCAGAATCCATGGTACAAGGCACTTTAAAATAAAACAAGCATGCAATAAATCACAGAAATGATGCTCCTCACGGACAGTCTATTGTCCAGGTGACTGCAAGGACTTGCCTAGAGAATGGGCCTGGATATGAAGAATAAAGCCATTCAGCTACAAAATGGACTAAAGATCCAGCAAGCTCTGCCAGAGACCATAGCCAACTACACCCCAAACCTAAGCGAAGACAGACTGCCCATCCCAGAGGCTCTCTATGAATCCTCCCTAGGTCTAAGACTCTGTCAGAATCAATAAGAAGCTTTGCAAAATCGCTAAAACCACAACATGAACTTTCAAGGAGCTACTACTCTCTCATTCAGAGGAGGGTGGAAGAACTCATTCCTCATATACATTTGCCACATGGAACGTCCACTGATGAGACAGGTGATGAGCTCTTTAAACCTGGAAACTACTGAATAAGACCTCATAGATGTTTTGAGGTGGGAAGATCCACTGTTAATCTGGGTCACACCTTTGGCTGGCAGCCTATATAAAGGATAAAGCTCTCTGTCTCTGCCAGCTTGCTCTCGCCTTGCTAGCAGGTCCATTCCTTCACTGGTATTAGAACCTACTTCTTCAAGATTTCAGCATATACTGAAGCCAGCTGAGATATCAAGCCTCGTGGACTGAACAACTGGATTCTTGGACCTTCTGTTGGCAGATAGCCAATGTTGGATTAGCTGGACCAGAGCCTGAAAGCCATTCTAATAAGTCCCCTTTACAGATACAGATTCATTCTCTAAGTTCTGCTCCTTTAGATAACCCTGACTAATATGCAAAGGAGCTGCCTCCTTACATTCTTCATCAGAGTGAGTACTCTCAGTAACATAGAAAGAAACCTAGAAAGCTAAGACGTTTAACCAGAAGTTATTTCACTGTATTCAGGTGTGTGTATTTTATGAACCAAATATGCAACATGCTAGTTAGATAGCTAGCAACAAACTGCTAACAACAGGCCAGGATTCATAGCTACAGCCAAAAACGGTGATGATCTATAGTCAGTGCTCCCCAGGGCACAGCTCAAAGCCAGAAAACAAGCCATCAATGTGAAACTGAGTAGTGCTGGCTCCATGGCTCTTCCCAGTGTGTTCATCTTTAGGTTGCCAAGTACCTGCCAACAAACACAAACTCGCTATTGCGGCAAAGACAGCAAAGACAGCCTTGGTCTCCGAGATGCTGGAGTCCAAGTTGTCTTACATCACTCTTTATCAATGGCCTTTTTCTTTCAAAGCCTTCCATTTCCTGTAGTCTTTCCTATTTTCTTTCATTTTTCTTTCAAACACAGCCCTAGATTCCCTATAGATTTTACTTTTAAAAATTCAACATTACTTTTTCATTGGGCTGGTATTTTTCAGTAAGAAATCTTCTCCCATAGCCCTGTTATGTTTGGTGCCTGATTTTCTACAATCTATGTACTGTATTATAGTGGGAATACCACAAGTTTGTGAGCTTAGACACCTAATTTATTTGGCTTTTGCACTTGGCAACCCAACTGTGTCCCAGGAATGGCTTCTTTAGAATATGCACTTGGGCTGGGCAGCAGTGACTTGCACCTTTAATCCCAGCATTTGGGAGGCAGAGCCAAGAGGATCTCTGAGTTTGAGGCCAGCCTGGTCTACAGAGCGAGATCCATGACAGGTACCAAAACTACAGAGAAACCCGATCACGAGAAAAAACAACAAACAAACAAACAAAAAAACGAGAATATGCACTTGGGTTTATAAAGAATATCCTACCTGGGCATAATTAATATTAACATAATTTGAGAATGGCCTCCACAGGCTTTTGTTTTGTTTTGTTTGGTTTTTCGAGACAAGGTTTCTCTGTGTAGCTTTGCACCTTTCCTGGAACTCACTCTGTAGACCAGGTTGGCCTCAAACTCACAGAGATCCACCTGCTTCTGCCTCCCAAGTGCTGGGATTAAAGGGTACGCCACCACCGCCCAGCTCCCCATAGGCTTTTACAATTGAACATTTGGAAGTATTAAAAGGTACCACTTTGTTGGCGGAGATGTGTCACTGGGGGCAGGCTTTGAGGTTTCAAAACCCATGTCATTTCCACTGAGCTGCCCTTTCTCTGCTTGGTGGCTGTGTCTCAAGATATGAGCTCTTAGCTACAACTCATGCTCCATGCTTGCCTACTTGCTGCCATGAAAGTCAGGGCTCACCTTCCCAATAAACTCTTTTTTCTGTAAGTTACCTTAGTCATGGTATCTTATCAGAGCAATAGAAAAGTAAATAAGACACATAACTAGCTTCTGAAAATGGCTTCTTCAATGAGCCTCTTTCAAGTAGAGCAAAGACGTTTACAAGGGTAAACTCTAGGTCTCACCTTGCAACCACTACAGAAGAATAGCCACACTGTGGTACGGTGATGAATCCTAGAGACCCCAGTCATTGGACATGTGAACACAAAGCTCATTCCAACCTGGACACAGGTCCAGCTCTGGACCTGATCTAAAGGGACTGGACACCACCATGTAATGAAACAGACTAACTGGACAGCAAATTCTGATTAGTTCTACAATTCTAAACTTTATAAATAATTAAAAGTAGATTAAGCTCTATAGCAAAATAATTCCTAAGTGATGAATGAAGTGTGGAAAAACAAATCATTTTGATTGTTTCAATTAAGCTTATATATAGAATGTAGTTTTTAACTATAGACAATGATAAACAAAAAAGACCAAGACTTAGAAATAAATAATCCTGCAACTTTAGAATTTGTGACCCAGTACAATACCATGCTATACTTGAAGTTGTCAACTAGTGCCCAGCAGCAGAGAGAGGGTAGGACTCCACTTGGGCCTGCCTGGAAGGCATCCAGCTACATCACTCACATCACTGACCACAATGGTTAATCTCGACCAACTAAACATGCTAAACTGAATTTAATGAAGGACGGCTTCATTAAATGCTTAGAAGAAGCCAGACTCTGATCTTCAGAGGGAGAGAGCAAGGGATGGAAGGATGGACCAGCTATAAGTACATATTGCTTTCAAACATTCCTTTAATAGATAAATGATGCTGCAGTACCTGTTTTCATTATTACGAGACTCCTCTGTAAAAGTTGTATCTGAAATTTAGGGTCTCCAAGGCCCACCATGACAACATCTTTACACACAGCCAGGTAAGTCTGTAAGACACACATGGGTTCAACAACGACAATAGCCATTTAAAAAGGGAGGCAGTCAAGCCTAACAAAGCCTCTCCTGTGATGTGCTAATATTACAAACTGTATTTCTCAAAGAATTTCCATAAATACATAATTTTCATTGTTTCTATAGGAACTCTCTAGACATTTATGCAGTTCCACAAACCTAACTAAATACCACATGTTAAACTACATTGAAATTATGCAGAATGTGCTTTTGTAAACAGAAATGCCATTCTTGGTATTGTGAAGCAGCACCGGGGTCTAAATCACTTCACAACAATATAAGCAGTCTTGAAAATACAGCACCAGCTGTGCCCCAGCTGCTGACCTGGATAACCTGCTGATAGACGTCACTCCGAAGCTTCAGATACTCTTCTTCTTGGTCTTGAAGAAGAGGTAAAACTTTGTTTTCTAACCAAGATCCAGTTTCATTCAAGATGGACAGATGTATTTTCTCTTCTGAGCAGAACTGTCCAACACAACAAAGAAGCCAGTAAGTAACAAAAGCCGCTCTGACACAGGATGCTCGGAGCACCAGAACCAGACAGCCTACCGTGTACTGAAGATGGACGCTCAGCCTACAGTAGAGACCAAAGGCGTGCAGGGCAGTTGCTTTGTTGAAGTTGAGGGCATTCCCACTTGGAGACTGAAGAAGTGATTCCAGATCTGCCTGTAAAATCACAACCCAGGACCCACGTTCTGAATGGCACATGACCACATCAAAGCAGGATGACTGCAGTGGCAGCTCTCTCTGCCACCCTTGCACCTGAACACCATCTGCGAGTGGGCTTTAGAAGCACACAGCAGAGTTAAGAGGTGCACAAGGCCCCAGGATCACTGTCCACAGGGACCACGGTTCATTTCCTCAGGGAAGGCTCTGTTGAACCACCATCCTGGATGGCAGCAATGAGGACTGTTCGGGGGAGACTCCTACAGGAGGAGGTCAGGGCCAGTGCAACGGGGGAAAAACAAGACTCCAAAGGGCAGTTGGGGCACAATGAATTCATGTCACATACTTTCCAAGATTCCTAGAAAAAACAGCCGAAGATTCTGAAGACTGCTAGTACTTCCTCACTGTTGCCTGGTATAGTCTATTTTGAGACAGGGAGAGACAAACTGGAGTCCTGACATGCCAGAAACCGTGGAGAAATGTAAGCTCTAAACACTACTTGTGAGGACACAGGTCCTGGAAATGGCACTGCTCCTGGGCTCACCTGTCCACCTCAGAGTCTTTCTGGACACTCATTCTCAATTCCTTTCTAGCTTACAAACATTATAGCACCAAAGCACAAAAACTATGCATCTTATTGCATCACTGTTACTACTATTTGAAGTCACTTTATCCTCCAAGACAAGTAGTTAGTTACCTTGGACCCCTCAAGTGCCTTTAAAAGCTGGTTAAGTTTCTTCTGGGGTGCAGAGAGCAGACACTCTCGATTCTTTGGATGGGTCAGCAAATACTCCATGTACAACAATGCTAACTCAGGTTTCACTGGGCATGTGTCATTGATTTGCACTTTACGTTTAGAGGCCAAATTACCCTGAAGGAGAGCAGTGGAACAAAGAGGCAATTAGAGCGTATGCTCCCATAACATTGGACAATTTCCAGATGCCCTTGTTCTCCACATTCCAGAGAGGCATGGCTGTATACACACCTTGGTCTGAGGTGGCCTTGTAGGCAGCCAGTCAACAATGAGCTCCAGGACATGTGACACTTGTCCCCAGGAACAGAGACAATCCAGCAAGGTACAGTAGCTCCTGCCTGTAACACTCTCCTCCTGATTCCTCAGGACAGAAATCACACCACAGCTGAAAGTCAAGTACAGAAAATCAGTTATTACTTCTACAGAAAGCCCCCACTGTCCCACAAGGTAAGGAAAAGCAAGATACAACTGACTGCATCGAGGGTACACAAACCTCATAGTTACACTGGTACTTGCTCCCCCACGAAACAGACTGTAGCTGCAAAAGGACATGTCCCACACCTCAACTGCCTTCTGTTTCTTAGTGCCAGCTGTCAGATTCCAGAGGTGGTCCTAATTTAGGACATTATTTTTTTCTTTTTTTTTTCATATCTATATCTATATCTATATATATATATATATATATATTTCATATAATACACAATCTATCACACTTCCCCCCTCCCCCAACACCTCCCAGATCCTCCCCACTTCCCTACCCACCCAACTTCACCTGTTTTACTTTCTCTAAAAAGCAAACAAAAAACAAATAAAAGAAACACACACAAATTAAAAAAAAAAAATCCCACAAAATTAGAAACCCAAATATCCAAGCAAAAGACAAAAATAGGACATTAAATTTGTAATGCCACAAAATGTTCACTTTGGAAGCTGGATGACCTGAGTTTGATTCCCAGAACCCACAAAGAGAACTAATTTTCAAATGCTGCCCTCTGGCCTCCACACACTCTGTGGTGTGTATGTGTGTGCATAAACACACATACCAACAAAATACATGTAAAAATAAATTTTTAAAAACGTTTTTTTCTTTTGAGTGTAAATAAAACCAAGTAAGTTTTACTTTTAAGCAGCAAACTCCAGAACTACACTGCCCAATAAAAAAAAATAACATGCGAGGCCTGGAGAGATGGCTCAGTGGTTAAAAGCATTTACTGCTCTTGTATGGGACTCAAATTCAGTTCCAAGCACCCACATGGTGGCTCACAATCACTTGTAACTCCAATTCCAAGGGATCCAACATCTTCTGACCTCCACAGGCTCCTGAATACACATGGTGGACATATACTCGGGTACACACGCACACACGCATACACGCACGCACGCACGCACTTTTTGAAATAGTACATTAATAGAAGTTCAGTGAGCAAAGGAACTCCATTTGCTCACCAGCCACATAAAAAAGGTTGTGTGCTAACTACATAAAGTGTAAAGAGAATTAGAGAAATGGATTTCAGCAGCTCATTTACTCCTCCTCTTGAAAACACCACTTTAACATGTACTCACAGCACAGTCTAAGTACTTGGAGCCACGTGTGGTCAACAGTGACCACAGGCTCTAGAGCTTGCCCCTCTGGATATTAGACTAAATGTCCAGACATCATGGGCATGCCCAGTTCCTCATGGTCTCTCTGTGACAGCTTCAGAGTCCACTGAAATCGAGTCCTGACAATCTCTCTACACAGAGGGCAAGGCAGGAAGGAGAAACACAGAGCAGGTGACAGACAGAAAACCCCACAGGACAGATTCTTGCTTTGAGGCAGCATACCTGAACACAGGGACAGCAGAGGCTGGCAAGAAGGACATTAGCATGAACAAAGGGATCTTGCAGCGCTCGTCCTAGAAACACAAAAAGAAACATGAAGCTAACACAGAATCGGCAATAGGGTATGTCCACAGTTGCTCAATATCCAATAATTATTCCAATATCTAGAGAAAAACAAATCTGAAGGTGGCCCTCAGGTTTGAGGATGAGACTACTTGAATCAAGCATCCTGACATTTCTACACCACCTTCACTAGGCAGCAAACACTAACTGCACCAAGTATAGTCATGGAAATATATTTACTTTCAAAACAATCAGGATGAATGGGAAAAGCTGACTAATAATTTATCCTGAACATAACTTTTAAGAGAACAGAGCTATTCGGATAATATTATACAAGATGAACCAGGCAATGTTGTTAGAGGGAATGCACATGCTTTGGAGCTACAAAATGAATCTCAGTCTAATCAGATCCTACACCAAAAAGCTGGTAAAACATAGGAAAGTGCCTGAATTCCGTCAGTTTCCTCCTCCTAAAATGCAGAATGCTATTAAAGACTGAATGAACCAAATCAAAAGAAAATGGGCAAGGTGAAACATAAAGTGTACCAAGTGCAATAAACTGCAGCTTAATTAGTCCTATTATTGCAACAATAATGTAAGCTGAGCAGATTTTAATTACTCAGAATCCATGGAGAACACTACATAATGGATGGGGAGACGGCTCAGTGGTTAAAGTCCTTTCCATTCAAGTTTGGAGACTGGAGCAAGGATTCCCAGAACCCACATACGTTCTGGGTGGGTGTGGAAGCCTATCTGTAATTGCAGTGCTCAGAAAGTAGAGACAAGGGGTCCTCAGGGCAAGCAGGCTAGCTAAACCAGCCATACTGATGAGTTCCCGAAAATAAGCATGAACACAGAAAGAGGAACAAAATTAAAGTCAGATATATTATTCACCTGCATTCAATTATTGTGACCACCTTGACCCCTAACTCCCAGTATCTAATTAAACAAGATGGCAAGAGTAAATAGCAACGAAATATTTTTGGAAATCCTGAACAGAGTATAATACATGATAAATATGTGGGTAATGCATTTAGTAGCTCAATTTAACCATCCCACAAGTTACACATACTCTAAAACATCACACTTAAAAAGTACAAAAAACTTTTCCCCCCATTGGAGAAATTTATTTATTTATTCATTTTACATACCAACCGGATTCCCTCTCATCCCTCCTCCTGCTCCCTCCCCACCTCCTTCTCTCCCCCACTCCCACCCACCCCCCACCCCACCAACCCACCCCTCCAACCCACCCCTCATTCACTCCTACAAAAATCTAAGTTCTCCCACAGGAGGACAGCTAAGCCTGGTACATTCAGTTGAGGCAGGACCAAGCCCCTCACCGCTGCATGAAGAGTGAGCAAAGTGTCCGACCATAGGTTACGGGATCCAGAAAACCAGCTCATGCACTGGGGACAGAATCTGATCACACTGCCTGGGGCCCCTCAAACAGACCCAGCTACACATCTCTCTCCGTATGCAGAGGGTCTAGTCCAAAGTATAAAATTTTTTCATCTGCCAACTAAAAATATCTTCTTTGTGCATGTTTTATAAAAGCAAACGGAGAATATCAAGGGTAGAATGATATGAATGGGAGTAGGGAGAGGAAGGAGAGAAGAAAATATGGGGAGCATCAACTAAAACCAGGAAGGTATTAAAAAGCCTTATAGAAAGTCACTCCTTCGTAAGCTAATTAAAAATAGGCTTCTTATTAACAGTGATTGAACAGTGGTACTCTGCATGAGTAGCTAATGCTCCTCCTAGAAAACAAAGGTTACTAAATGAAAATCCTAGTGCCAGGCATGGGATTTCTCTCAGTTGATAAGGGAGGTCACAGAGGAAACTAAAATAGCACAGGCTATTGCCAGTGTTCTTGGATGACTACCAGAAATAGATGGTAAAACCTAATTGCTGAAGGTACTACACACTGATTGCAGAACAAACAGAAATCAAGCTGAAACTAGGCAAAAAACTTCCTCCATCAGGCTGGCTTGATATGCAAGCTGCTAGAGAAGTCATTGATGGTCTTTTCCTGCAGCGGACCCTGAAGCAAACAATACTGATGTGCCAGGCAAGATGTCCCCGATAGTGTAATAGTGGCACAACTGTTGAGGAGATAACCAACCACTTTGTTTAAAAAATTGGGTTAAGGCCTACTCCACAGGACTGATGTCATTCCTGGTACTATGAAATTGGTCAAAAGCCATGGCTAAGGTCTAAGTCCTAGGAGGAAAGCAACTGCTTTTGCTTTGCTAAATGGGTATGTGTTTATTTATATTGTGAAATATTTGTTTAACTATGTAAAGATGTGTTGCATTTGTTTAACTATGTAGAGATGTGTTGCATTTGTTTATCTTGAAGCATATTTAACTATGTAAAGATGTGTTACATTTGTTTAATTATGTAAAGATGTGTTGCTATTTTACCTTGCCTGCCTAAGGCACCTGACTGGTCTAATAAAAAGCTGAATGGTCAATATTCTGGGAGGAGGTAAAGGTGGGACTTCCAGGCAGGGAGAGTAAGTAGGTTAATTTAGGCTCGAAGAAGAAAGAAAAAGATGCCAGGGGCCAGCCAGTCAGACATGGAAGAAGCAGGACATAACTGAATGAAAGAAAGGTTGTGGTGATATTTTGAACAAATAAAATTTGCCTGAAGATCAAAAGACAGAACAAACCACTAGATTAAACACAGAAGTCGGGCAGTGGAATTAACACCTTTAATCCCAGCACTAGGAAGGTTGAGATAGGAAGTGATATGGCTGGGCAGAGAAAGAAATATAAGGCAGGAGACAGGAACTCGCTCTCTTTCAGGCTGAGGAGTAGGTGAGGTTAAGAGATAGTGGCTGGCTCCTCTGCTTCTCTGATCTTTCACCTTTCACCCTGATATCTGGCTCTGGGTTTTTATTATAAGACCAATTAGGATTCATGCAACAAAAGGTAAAAAGCCCCAAGGCAAAACATAGATGAACAGAAACAGGCTAAATTAAGTTAAAAGAGCTAGTGGGACAAGCCTAAGCTAAGGCTGAGCATTCAAAATTAAAGTAAGTCTCCATGTCTGTATTTGGGAGCTGTTTAGTAGCACAAAGAAAATTCCAATCACAGGTATGCTGTAAAACTGCTTTCTAAATCTGTAGGTTTATACCCATAGATTGAGGCTGGTTTCAACCTTGGTCAGAGAAGGCTATTTTTGAGGTAGACATCAATTAATGCAGAGACCACAACAGGCCAAAGTACTGAGAATGACTGCTGAGTGCTCAGCTCCAAATGGGCCACCTCTATCAATTCCTTCCCCACCAACGCTCAGGAAACACCCAGAAGAGGGAGAAGAAAGTGCAAGAGCCAAAGAATGGAGGAAATTGCTGTTTTCTGGACGTGACATGACCATAGCACCCATAAATTCAGAAAGGCTATGGTTAGCTGCACAAGACCTAGACAAGATTGGTCCCATCAACATTCCAGCACAGAATGAGCTCATGAGACCCCACTCCTAGCTGAGGAGCTATTTATTGGAAGTTAATGGCAGATGGGTGAAAAGCCATCTTTCTTGTCCATGATCTAGTAAATAAGCCCATACCCATGTATATGCAAGCAGGCAAGTTAATTAAACTCAGGAGATTAAAAAATTTTAAAAAGGCTTAAAGAGGGCATGTTGGGAAGAAAGAGCTCAGAGAGAGTGAGAGGGGAATAAGAGAAAAGAATGGGAGCAGTGAATAATAGCATCAAAATAAAGCAAGTATATAAAATTATCAAAGAATACTTAAAAATATATTTTAATGTATTTATGTATTTAATATATTATATATATGCATATATATACATATTTATATAAAGCTTTATTGTATGAGTTCATGTTTTTGGTAGGCATCTTCTTCAATCACTCTTCACCTTTTCATTGAGACAGAATCTCTCACTGAACCTAAAATTCACCAATTAAATTAAGACTGGCCAGTAAGCCCTGGATCCTCCTGTCTCAGTCTCCCCATTATAAACACATGCTTCTATGCACCACTTTTATATGGGTGCTATGGATCAAACTCAGGTACTCATGATGGAACAGGAGGCACCTTACCAAATAAGCTATTTCCCCAGCACCTAAAAATCTTTTAATTAAATTGATCTAATCTGTCTGCCTTGATAACACAGACACAATTCATACCATAGAGAGATCTGTTTCCTGTGTACACTCAAACACCTTAGGAAGTGCCTACAAGATGGGACATTCTGTTCATAAGACAGAATCTTCTTCCTAAAACTGCAAACAGATTAGATCTCCAACATCAGAAAGAAAAGCCAAGGGCTCACCTGAGACAGTACCCTGGGTACCAAGGATACCCAGGGAGGGAGATATGCTAAACTCATGACAAGGTGAGGGCCAGCACACCCTTCCTGCCGTGGGTACAAGACAGAACTTCCACTAAAGAAGAAACCAATGCCATCACAAAGCACCTTACTCATAAGAATGGCCTAGACTTACCTTGAACACCTTCAGATACTCTGGAAGCACAGATGCAAACTTGTTAATGGTATAAACTTTGGCCTCTTTATTATTTTCCAGACTTCTCTGGATGTTCTTCCAGAGGATCACAATGATTTCTAGCAGACCCGCCATGGACGCAGTGTCATTCACTGACAATGTTTTGTCTAGTACCTAAGACATGAATAATGTTACTGTGAAAGAATCCAATGACAAGTAGTAAGAGACAAATGTACTACCTTCAAAACCACATCTCAGAATTGCAGACACAAAACAATGTAAAACTGTAACGTTAACTTCCATGGCACAGTAAAACTTTCTTCACTACTTTAGAACCTATCTGTATCTAGAAGGTAGATGTGTTTCCAAATTTCACCTAAGAAATAAAATCTAAATTAACTCAATATTCTATAGTGAAACAGTCTGTATGAATTAAAATGTTTCTAAAATCAGAAACTAGCACTCTTTACCACACGCCCCAAGCAAATGGGATTACACTACACTACAAGGCAATTGCTGAGCATGGCTGTACAACATGCCTGCCCCAGCAGGCACTGCTGCTGAACACTTTTTTTCTGAGGCTAGCAGGATACAACTCATAGATGTCAACAACCCCTAAAATCATAGGTTTCTATAGCTTACTGAAAAACAAACTTGTTTATAGTTTCCTATTGTGCTGGTAATACAAAACAACACCATATCAGAATGCTCAGTGCAAACCAGACATGCGTACAAAATCCCTCTCTCCAGAGCAGGTGATCAGACCTGGCTTGTGACTTGTACAAGAGTGACAACCATGGAGATACAGACACACGATGGATAAAGTAGCTTCCTAACGCTGAGATGAGAAGGTGACTCAGCTTAGTTTTAACCATTCAAATGTGAGTACAAAACTAAGTTTGATTAATAAGAATATGAAGAAGCAAACATAGTTTCTCCATAGTTAGCTATGTCAGCATGCACTAAATGCTTTGAAATGTGGGATAAGGCAATCAGATTGATAGAGCACCCTGTTAGTAGTTTGGATGCTACCAAGAACAATGTGACAAACTGAGCGAAGTTTTCACCCTGGGATTAACCTTTTCTATGCTCTAACTCTGTGAACAGAAAAGGAATTTATTGGAGCACATTTACATTTACACTGAGCATTACAGCATGTAACCACTAGGTACTACCAGCCTAAGAAATAGTTTATTTTAAAATAAACCACAGAAGCTCAATATTTTAGCACAACAGCCTTATTAAAATTTATGAAACCCACATTTCCTCTTTGAGAATAACACTTGAATAATGTACTAGGCTCTTAAGTAATGGTTCTTTATTTTACTTTAGCAGGCTAGGCTAAAATACTTTAGCAATACTAGGCTCCTAAGTAATAGTTCCAGAATTTTATTTTAGTACAGAATATCTTTGGATGTTACTAGATGGCCATGAGAAAGCTGTTTGTGTGTTTGTTTATTTATTTGTTTGTTTGAGACAGAGTCTCTCTACATAGCCCAGGCTCTCCTGGAACTCATTATGTAGACCAAGCTGGCCTTAAACTCAGAGATCCATCTGGCTCTGCCACCCAAGCGTTGGGATTAAAGGTGTATGCCTTGCACCATGAGAAAATTTTAAGAGTTCTTCAAAAACTTGGGCATGGTAGTGTGTGCTTATAAACCCGAACTCAGGAGGCAAAGGAAGGAGGATTATCATCAGTTCAAAGCCACCCTGGAACTTCCAGGACAGCCAGGGCTACATAGTGAGACAATCTCAAAAACAAAACAAAACAAAACATTTTAACTACATATGTATTCTTAGGATAACTATATGACAAGTTATATATTTTTTCTAACATGGGTTACAATGTTACAAAGCTATGTACTCTGAACCCGTCAACCTAGAATGAGAATTCATTTAACAAATTAGGTATTTTGTGCACAGGGTAAAATGGAAATCATTGTCTTTTCCAATGATACAGAACCTCACATAAAAGATGTAGCAAGCTTTCTCAGTAGTATCTAGCCACAAGGGTAAAGAAATTCTCAACTAGTACATTACCAAACTCATGTTCACATTTGCAAGGTCATTTTCAATCCCAGTCATAAGGCTACAATGGTCCACAGCAGGATGTTTACCCATGTCTGTCAATGCCAACTACCTCATGTGCTAGGCTGATCCGTAGATCAGTAGATCACCTACTGATTAGAGCACAAAATTGACATGGGGGCCCAGCTAAGTCTCCTGAAATGCTTCACACACCCTATCTACAATGCAGGGAGGGTAAAAAGAGCTTGAACTCTACCTATCAGAAAAGGCACTGGTCAGCCAAGGTACAAATGTGAAATCACAATGTTCTATGTACTCCTCTCCCTCTGTCAGGGACAAGTACAGAATCTCTAGTTAGTGGAAAAATACAGACCCCCCAATAAGACAGGGAACTAGATCAACTTACAGTCAGGTTGCCTAGCAACAAGACATTGAGTCAGAGCCCTTGACCCTCTCACCCTGTAAACATCCTATACAAACATCCTGTTAGCTTACCCCACCTTATGCAGATGACAGCTTCTTGCTCCACCCACCCTGCAGAAACTATATAAACCCTTTTGGAGAAAACAAAGTTGCACCTTGATCAAAATCCAGACTTGGTGTCTTTCCTTTGTATCTCCTGTCCCTACATTCCCTCCTTAGGGTGGTCGAGAACCTGTTGTAGCCCTGCGGGCGGGGCATCCCTATACTACAAAACTTTCCTGTATTTCTTCAGCAGTTTCTAGTGACCAATTTCAGACCAAACTAGCCGAACAAGGGACAAAGGGGAAAGTCCATCTCCTCGGGGGTGGGCTAGTTCCTGTCAAGATGCAATGGGAGAAACACTGAGATAACCACGACACTGGCAGAGAAGTCACCCCATGGAAGAGGCAGTCTGAACATAACTGCCTACCCTTTCTAGATGGGTCCCAGGGTAGCCAGCCCCAGGGCCTGGCCGTGTAGTAAGAATACTAGCACAGAACTTTAGCAAAGGAAAAATTGGTTTTGTGATTTTCTATGACAGATTTCTAATCTATTTGGGTACTACAAAAAAAAAAAAAATCTTCAAAGTGCCCATATATAAGCTTAAGATACTGCTTGCAGGCCAGGCGGCCATGGCGCACACCTTTAATCCTAGCACTCGGGAGGCAGAGCCAGGCAGATCTCTGTGAGTCCGAGGCCAGCCTGGTCTACAGATTGAGATCCAGGACTGGCTCCAAAACTACACAGAGAAACAAAAAAAAAAAAAAAAAAAAAAAAAAAAAAAAAAGATACTGCTTGCGCTTGCAAGCAGTAGTGTATTTAAGACTTAACTGGCTATTATTGGTCACATTAAGTTTTAAAGACAAAGCAGCTAACTAAAGACAATTCTACAAAAAGCTTGCATCCATCCAGAAGTTCATCCCCAAAATGTTTCTAGAAGAACCTCCTATCAGTAACTTTGACAGACACCAGCTCCATGTCCAGAATCTAGCTCAACAAACAGTATTACACCCAAGGAATCAAAGGCAGAGATGCTCAGAGCAGAGAAATATGGGATAAGGTTGCCAAGAGTAAGAATATTCTTTTTTTTTTTAAATATTCCTCCAGGATCTAAAAGTACAAAAGATATACTACAATTCTTTAAAAAAATGTAGTTTATGACTTTTTACAAACCATACTTAAGCATCTTTACTGGAACAAGTGGGAAATAAAAACATCCTATACACTGGTACAGAAATAATGAGAAGTAAGAGAGGCACTCACACTGGCGTTCTCCTTCTCGCACTCCTTATGGGCCTCTGGGCACTCTCGGAGAGTCCTCTGGATACAGGCATTCAAGCAGTGGCGGATGACGTGGATGAGCTTTGCTAAAGTGGTTAAGATAATCAACAAATACATGAATCTTCTATAAAATTAACTTTCTGATTAGGAAACTAGGATCTCAAACAGTAAAGAGTATTACTTTCAGGCAAATCCCTAAGAGATGCCAGAGAGCACGAAGCTTACTCGAGTGACAAATAGTGAGCATCTGTACCATGCAGTACACTGAGGAGAGGCAGCAGGACAGGGAAGCAGAGATGCAGACCTATGTTGGTGCTGGCGGTATGCTCGTGGGCATACTGGTAGAACTTCCTGGCAGCTGCACGGTTCATCTGGATCAGTGTGACACATCGCTCGCACCACACCTCCTCTGGCTGGTTCACAGGCAGAAAAGAATTGAAGATGAGGCTCACCAGGCGCCGAGACACAGGCCGAGAGTCCATTTCGAGGCGAACCAAAATGTCCTCCATGGGGCATATTTTCCAAAACTAGAGAGTAAAAGTGGAAACATGCAAAAGGAAATAATCAATAGTTCCTACAATCTTGAAAACTGCTTAAGTTTCCAAAATATAACAAAGAACTAATTTTTATATTCAAGAAAAATCATTTCAAGTAGCTGTATCAGAATCTGAATTTTCTGTGAGCCAGTGTAACAAGTCTACGTTTTAAAGAAATGTAACATGTAACATAGAATGAGGCTGTGGAAAGGTCAACTCTGATTCCTTAGCATGACTAATGCACAAATGATAGCTCTGATTAATCAAGCTGATCATTTCTACATTGTAGATCCACTAATCCATTAACTGATCTAGTAACAATAATTTTTTTAACCTATTAATAGTTTTGAAATAAGCACCCTACTCATCTCTCTTAAGAGACTCAGAGCATCCTTCCTCAATACACTAGGACTGCTGGCCTGCTCTTTCTACTGTGAGCAGTCTCCTTGTCCAGCTCTGGAGCTCCCACAATCACATACTCCACAAGAGACAGAATTAGCTGTTTGTTGGTGGTGGTTTGTTTTTTGTGTTTTCAATCAGGGTCTCAAGTATCCTGGCCAACCCCAAACACACTTTGTATCTGACTAAAGACTGATTACCTTAAATGCCTGATCTTCCTGTCTCCACCTCCTGAGTGCTAGAATTACAGGCATACACCATCTTTGTGTATGTAACACAGGTGTTCTACCAACTAAGCTACAACATCAACTCTAGCACAGGCTTCTGGCACCTGGGCAGCTCGTTTGCCCATTTCTGTCCTTACCAACACACACACACACACACACACACACACACACACACACACACACACACACTTCTTGGCCAAGGGCCAAGTCCAGATAAGTTATAGTGAGTACAAGGCACAAGTTGTCACTCTGAACAGCATACTAGCAGACATGTGGGTGACAATGCTCTTGGCAATGGATATTTCCAAGGATAGGCAGGCACTAAGTGTTATCATTTGCCCAGGCTAGCCTTGAACTCCTTTTGAACTTGAAATTCTCTTGTCTCAGTGGTAGAGCACCTGCCTAGCATTCATGAGGCCCTGAGTTCAATGCCCAGTATCAAGGAAATAAAATTGAATTGGAGCTGGGAAGAGGACAACTCCTATGTCTTCTTTATTATGCCAATAAAGTGGTCCATGCCCAGTGCACACTTACCATGTTACAAGCAATTCCTTGGTCTATAAAACAGGAGAGATTTCAGCTAACCTTTGCAAGTAATAAGTAATATTTAAGTTCTTACCAAGTGCTAAATATGTATAGATACATCAAACATTTCAATGTTTAACATGTAATGAAAATGTAAGGGGAAGACCTGCAAGATGGTTCAGCAGATAAAGGTGCTTGTCACCAAGTCTGACAATCTGTGCTCACTCCCTGGAAACCACATGGTGGAAGGAAAGCACCAATTCCCACAACTGACCTGACTCTGACCTCCAAGTATACTGTACACACATGCCCCATCACACAAGAACAATGCCTTAAAAATATGTAAAGGTGATTACTTATATTATTAGTGTCTTTCCAAAAAGAAACATGTGTTGGTATTTCTAGAATTTTCCACAAGAAACACAAAACAAAGTTTTATGACAATCTAGCAATACACTGGTTATCAAACTGATTAAAATATAACTGTAAAGGTTCTCAGAATTAAACTTAGTCTTTCTGTTGGGTGATCACAAATGTGCTTTGTGCATTTCAGTCTTCTCCAAGAACGTCCTCCTTACCTTTGCAGCTCTCACAGCTTTGATTTTCAGCAACAAGTCCACAAAAGCCACCCTCACTTTCTCTGAATTATCGTGGAGACTGTACCTGAGTGGTGGCAAAAGTTGTTCTAATAATGGGTGGCTCAGTTTGTTATCCAAAATAATGGGCAAGCACTACAGAGAGAAAGAGAAAAGCATTTCAAAATCAGAATACACCAATAAAACATTTAGGCAGGAAACACCTAATTGATGTTGAATCCTATTCCTGCCAGAAAACACCACCTTCATCCAAGTTCCACATGGAAGGCATGCTTGGAGCCGGTGAGATGGCCAGCAAGACATTCCACAGAGGCAAAAATGAGGACTTCTATAGTACTAGAAAACTACACCCAACCCAAAGACTAGTGCTATGGGAAGTAGACATTTTATATAGAAAACATGTCTCTTCTTTGAAACAGGTTCTCTAGGCAACTCAGGTAGACTCCAAACTCAGAATCCTCTCGCCTCACCCTCCTGAGTATTTCTGGTATTATAAAACTATTGACTACACACCTGGCTAGAAAATACTTTAAATTTGAATTTTAAAAGCTTAATTTGGTGACTTGAAGAGATGGCTCAGCAATTAAAATCATGCTGCAACTGCAAAGGATTCAAGTTCAGTTTCCAGCACCCATGCATGGTAGGGTTCACACCCACAGTTAAGACCAGCTCCAGGGCGTGGGTGAGCTGGCCCTGAGAATGTGATTGTAAGAGAACTAGCCCCACCCCTTATCTACCATATGGTGGTGTGGGCAAGGGAGGAAACCCCCCCCCCCCCCGCGCCCCCGCCACGTCCCTTGAGGCCTGTGGTGAGAGAGCTGTCCCTGAGGTCACTAGAGCAAGAGTTGGCCCTGCCTCTCACCAGCTTCAGCACTAGGCAGAGTGGCCCTTACATCTCAACTAGGCAACACACTAGAGCTGAACTTGGTGGTGTAGGTGTGGGCAACACAACATGAGAGACGGAAAATCAGTCCCGCCCCTTGTTCCTTACTACATAGGGTGAGTTAGGAGGGGCAGTACTGAAGAGCTCACTCTGGTGTTGAAGATGAAGGAGAGCTGGCAGGCTGAGCAACCCAGCAACCACCCAGACCCGGAACTAGAGCTATAAGTTGGCCCATCCCATCATCTACCCCATCTATGATCTGTGGGAACACGTGAAGGGGTTGGGCCTGCAGACCCAATATTACAGAATCTCCATGACACAGAACAACAAGACATCCAAGAGGAGTCCCAGTGAGGGCCCAGTATTGATGATGTAGCAAAAACCAGAGACCTCAAACCAGACCAACAACTCAATGCAATGAACACTTGCAAGTAACACTATATGGACTAAAGGACTACGTGACTCACTGTGTCACACTACAGCCTCCACGAGATGAGTGGGATCAAGATGCATGATGTGAAATCCACAAAGAATCAATAAAAAGTTAAATTTGAAAAAAAAAAAAAAAAAAAAGACTGGCTCCAGGAGGATCCAATGCCTCTGGCTACTCTAGGAGAGGACCTAAGTTCAATTCCCAGCACCTATATGAAGGCTAACAACCATCTGTAACTGTAGTTCCATGGAATCTAATACTCTAGTCTGGCATCCATGGGCACCAGGTACACACATAACATACACCCAAAACACCCATACACATAAAATACTTTTTTAATTTTAAAAATAAATAAAATTTTACCAAAAAAAAAAAAAAAAAAAGCTAAAGTTTTGGTCTAGAAATACAACCACAGCCGGGTGGTATAGGTGCACACCTTTAATCCCAGTACTTGGGAGGCACAGGCAGGTGGATCTCTGCTAGTTCAAGGCCAGCCTGGTCTACAAAGTGAGTAGACAGCCAGAACTGCAACAGCGAGAAACTGTCTCAAAAAACCAAAAGGGGGGGGGGGAGAAAAAGAAAAACAACTACAGTATCAGTAACATATCCATATTGAGTAGGACAATATATGATTTTCTAACATTCCCCCCTTTTCTCTATTCCCTAAAAATCGCTGTAGTTCTATAAAACTATTCTACAATAAAATGTTATCTTTATACCTTTAAAAACCCTACCTTAAAAACAGAACAACGAACATCAGCTGAACTTGTATCAAACGCCAGCTCCCCTGTGACTTTCTTCAAGAGGTCAACGAGAATGGTTGGGGGCATCATTTCCCAGTATTTACACGTTATTTTACAAACACCAAGGATGCCTGTGGAACGGACCCTCGGATAAGGATCTTCTAAAAGGCTCTAGAAGTAGAAGGGGGGGAAAGTTACAATTCTTAAATTATTGTTTGTGTTACATATTAGCACTTTGGGAATTTAAAACTTAGTAACAGACACTTAAGGTTGCAGAAATACTGGCCATTTAGTCCATGTCCCTAGGCACCCTCAAGGGTACTACTTCCAGAATGCCAAATCCGCAGCTGTTCAGTCCCTCATATAAAGCAACACAGCATCAATCCATGCTTCCCATATAAGGGTTACATGAGTAGCTAGTCTACTATATTGTTTACAGACTAAAGGCATGAAATAGAATCTGCACATGTTCCAAATGGTGTCATAGATGAAGACACTGAATAGGTCTAGGACCTGCCGAAAGTCACAAAGCTATTACATGGGAGCGGTAGAGATCAACTGAAAAGAAGTCAAAGTGACAACACTTAACTACTGGAGACAGGGCATGCAAACCCATAATCCTGGTAAACTTATGAGGACACATAATGGAATGTTTCAGGAGTGACTAAAGAGGAGGAAGGAATACTGTGGATCTGTGCTTCTGGGGACATGGGCAAAGTGGGTACTCCTCTGCAGGATGGCCCTGCTGGCAAGCACTGACCCTGCAGCTAGCTACAAGGCATACAGGTCAGCAATGAACACACAGCACAGCAATACATACATAGAGCTCTTCAAACTGCTTCTGGATTTCACTGTCCATTTCGGCAGCGATGAAGTTTGGGTCTCTAACAGGAAATGCTTCGACAAACAACAACGCAGCATTTGACCGAACTTCAGAATTCCTGGCCTATAAAAACAGGAGTAGTTTCAGAAGTCCAGAGTCCAGTGTTCCCAAATTAATGCTTCCACAGTTTCAGCAGAAATTCATTTCCAAATCAGAGATGATTTTGGGGGCTGGCAAGATGGCTCAGAGAGCAAGGGCATGTGCTCCTTCCTGCACCCGACAATCCTAGGACTACACACAGTAGAGAGAACTGACTCCTGCAGGTGGTACTCTAGCCTCCACATATGCTCCCTACACCCATAAATAAATACAATTTAACAAAAAATAAAAAGATAATTTTAACCTTTAAATTGGCAAAACTAGGCTGTGGGTGTAACTTAGTGGAAAAATACAGTATGTGTGGGGCCCTGGGCTCTACTCTTGGCATCACAAAAGTAAGTAAATAGCCAAACTTTGTAAAGTCAAATTAAATTAAGCCAAACTCTCAGTTCAATGTCAACAGATATTAAAGACCAACTTCCTCACTTTAAAGCTGCATTAATTAAACTTTGCAATTTCAGCCTTAAAAAAAAAAAGAGCTCCTGTATCATAAGAGACGGTTACTGCCAGATTCTGTCGGTGTAAAACAAGGTGTTCAACAAAACACTCAGTGTCTGCCCTCTGCCCTTGTCTCAGGCATGAGAGTGTAAGAACAGGCAGGTGGCACAGCTGTTACTCCACCCAGCCTCACTGATGTTTACGCACACCTCCAGTCCCTCTGGACTGTCTGTCACAGTAACTACGCAGTAGAGAACTGATCCACCTTTATAGTTAAGTGGGTCAAAGAAATGGTCTTCATAAAGGATAAAAACTGAGAGCCAGGAATGATGGTGCATACCTACATGAGGCTGAGGCAGGAGGATCACGCGAGCCCAGGTGGCTAGTATGGGCAACACAGTGCAAAAACATAAGATATTTTGCTCTGAAAAGTCATAAAGCATCCTCTCCCTTCTTATTTCACTGCCTTAGTAGGCTTCTGAATTAGCACAGGCTCAATTTGAAGCACAGGCTGCACAGGAAACACTAAACGTTACCTTCAGTCCTCTCCAGAGGATGGGCTTATATAACCTATACAACATCTCTTCCACTCCCTGACGGACTTTCTGTTGGTGAAAGTAACTCAGCACCTAAAGGCCAAAGAAAGAGAAAGGAAACAAAGGCTATAGAGTTATTTGTAAACATTTCAGTCAGATGTAGTGGTGTACCCCTCAGAAGGCTGATGCAGTGGTATACCCCTCAGGAGGCTGAGGGAGAAGGATGGTGAGCTTGAAGTCAGCCTGGGGTACAAGAATCTATCTCAAAACAAACAAACAAAAATTCAAGAAACCAGAGGAAAGGTTTATTCTGCTCCATCCCACCAGTGTGACACTTGCAACATTCTCTGGCAAGACCTACAACAGATACAAGACAAATCACAAGGAGTCTTGGCCAAAGTATTGATCCACAGCCCTGAACTCTAATATCATCTGGGTTCTAATGTCTACCACCCAGTGATCCATGGCAGTTGTCCCACTAATTGAGAGGTTGAGACAGAAAAAAGCTGAGCCCAGGAGCAACAGGCCATCCAAGACAACTCAGCAAGATCCCATCTCAAAAAACAAATAAATATAAAAATTAAATTCCTTTTTTTTTCCTTCAGTTTTTCAAGACAGGGTTTCTCTGTGTAGCCTTGGCTGTCCTGGAACTCACTTTGTAGACAAAGCTGGCCTCAAACTCAGAGATCCACCTGCCTCTGCCTCCCAAGTACTGGGATTAAAGGTGTGTGCCACCACTGTCTGGCTAAAAATTAAACTCTTACTAGCCTATCAATGGCCACATAACCGCCACAGATCTCTGACTTGGTGAGTAAAATGGAAGAAGGGAACATGAACAGGACTTTGCCTGATTCTTCTGGACTCAAATGCTCATTAACCAACTATTGGCTCCAATACCCACCAGAGATAGGCACCAGCTACCTTAAGACTGCATATGAACAGGCTTCTACAAATATTCTAAAAGAATACTCCTTTTAGCACAAGCTTAAGTGAGATACTAGCTTCCTCCCAAAACTTGTGATTAATCAGAAACAGACCATCTTTTTCTGACAGTCAGAATTGCCCCACAATTCTGTACAGACCCTTGAACCTAGCCAACTGGTCAACCTCGTCCCTTCAAGAATTAAAAAAAAAAAAAATCAATTTTGCTTTATCACTAGAATCCACTCCTCCAGAAAATATATTAGTGAAAACCCTCTGAACTACAGCATGAGCATGTTACTGTAATGAAGGGTTTCATTCTCTATTTAAATTTTTGAAAATGTCTCATACTACACATCTCAGGCTAGCTTCCAACTCACGATCCTGTTTCAGCCTCCAGATCAATGGAACTACAACAGACACTACCACACTCATTTGTTTTTATGAGTCTCATAGTTAGTGGAGTTTTCTTTTTGAGTACAATGCTATCATCTTTTGGTATGGATGGTATTCTCACTTCACAGAAAGACTTTAAGCAGTTTAAAAGAGAAACACAATTCACTTGCCATAAAGTTACTCTTAAAGCACATAGGCCCAGCTGGCTTAATGATAGTGTACCCTTTCTTTCTTTATCACAGAGCTGGTGGCAGAAACAAACTGCCAAGATACCAAATATAAGAATTCTGAGAAACTCCTTTGGTGGGGTGAAATTATGAATTTTTAAATTTAGCCAAAACAAACAAACAAACAAAATATATATAAATAAATAAATGCAGGTCAAATGATTGGCTGTGTGCCCCCCACCCCACCAACCTTTAGACTTAGATGGAGGTTGACCAGTTGGCCTTTTAAATTTTATTAATTTAATAAATGTAGTGAAAAGGCAGTCAAGTGGTTGGCCCTTTTTCTTTCTCTCTTTTTTTCTCTTTCTTTCTTTTTCTCTCTCTCTCTCTCTCTCTCTCTCTCTCTCTCTCTCTCTCTCTCTCTCTCTCTTTCTTTAAATCTTGAAGGGACGAGGTCGACCAGTTAGCTATGTGGGTTTTTGTTGTTTGTTTGTTTGTTTTTTTCCTTTAGATTTAGATGGAGGTTGACCAGTTGGCCTTTTAAATCTTTTTAATTTGGTAAGTATAGTGAAAAGGCAGTTGCAGTGGTCAGCCTTTTTTTTTTTTTTTTTTAATATACTATACTAGTTTGTTTTTTCAAGGAAGGAAAGCCTTTAATACCAGCACTTTGGGAGGCAGAGGCAGGTGGATCTCTGTGAGTTTGAGGGTATCCTGGTCCACAAAGGGACAGCCAGGACTCTACAGAAAAACCTTGTTTCAAAAACAAAACAAGCCGGGCGGTGGTGGCGCACGCCTTTAATCCCAGCACTTGGGAGGCAGAGCCAGGCGGATCTCTGTAAGTTCGAGGCCAGCCTGGACTACCAAGTGAGTTCCAGGAAAGGCACAAAGCTACACAAGAGAAACCCTGTCTCGAAAAACCAAAAAAAAAAAAAAAACAAAAACAAAACAAAACAAAATAACAATAATAATAAAATTATTTTAAGATGAACCTCAACCTTTCTTACCAATGTCACCCTGGTCCCAAAGCTGTCCCCTGACAAACCTCCTGGTCACTATGGGCAGGTTCCATATCACAATCTGTGCTAAGATCCACTAAAGAGAGGAACCCAATATCTGCTCCAAGTTCAAGCATTCCCTGGCTTGATATGTAGCTCAGTGGAAGAACACTTGCCTAGCATGGACAGGTCCTAAGTTCATCTCTAGGTCAACAAAAACAATCAAGTTTAAGCACTCCCAACTCTTTAGAATGAGGTTTTTCTTTAGAGAAAAGTTCTAACATTATAGTAGATAGAACTACCTATGGAGATAAGTCTTCTTGCCTGCCTCCAAAATTGTTTAGGGCACAGACAAGGCCCTCAAGTCCTACAGAATCCTCGGCCAGCCAAGAAGCACCACTTTGGATTGGGCCTAGACTGGTTGTACTACTGAATCAGAAACTTAAAGGCAAAGCCCAGTGTTGCTCAAATGCCCTGTAGGTGATCTGATGTATCTAAGCTCAGGAACCTCTTGACTTAGGATGAACATGGCCCAGCTCAGGAGAGACCTCACTAAATGAAGGAGCCAAAGGCCTGGGTTAAATCTGTAATTCCTACTACCATCCTCATTCTCAAGACCTCCCAGCAGAACAGTAACTCCATTAGATAAGCTTCAAGCAGAATTCACAGTTGAAGAGGCAGCATGGAGAGTGTCTGCGTGTGGGAGCAGCCCAGAACTCAGGGATGCAGCTCAGAGGCCCAGTATCAACTGTGCTCTAGATCCAGTACATGGTGGGAGTTATAGTTATGAAATGAGTTTGCAGTAGAAACTACCGAGTACCGGGTACAGGGGTTACTTTACTACTATTACAGTGCATTTCAAGTAAAGCTGAAACAGAACCTCAACAAATTTGCTCACAGTTGGTGGATTAGAGGTGCCTCACTCACCTCTCGTACTTTGGAGTGCACTGGAGACCTCCTTGGAAGGTGGATGCCATGGAACATGAAGTCCTGGATGCAGTCGTTTTCAATGGTCTGAAACAATAAGAGCAATGACAAGCAGACATCCCACAGGCCGTGTGCATTGGCAGGCAAGAATGGGATCCCCTTCTTTAGAAGAGAAAGCCTAGGCTATTCTGTCAGAGCTGTTACTATATGTCCACACCTCTCACTGTTCCTTCAGTTTCAATACAAAGAACACACTTAGTTTGCTTCTATTTTATCTGATGGTGAGTTTGAGCAATGTAGCAAGGTAAGCTCCTCACGATCATCAGAAGCCAGCTCTCAGCAGATGAAGTAGAGGCTGGGAAAAAGGAGTATACATTGACAGAGAGAGACCTCAAAACAGTTACACTGACCTGGATGAACATCACCAGCTTGAACCTGTTTCAAGAACCTCTCCAGAAATGCAGTGGAACTGCCTCTACCGTGGAGCTCAGAACTCCAGAGACCAAAATGAGATCATTGGGGACTCTGACAAGTGCTGGGGAAAAGTGTATGAGAAGCTCCTTGACAACCCACAATGCTAAAGAGCCGCAGGGTAAGACAACAGAAAGCCAGGCCCAGTAGACTATGTGTTACCCTGCACTCCAGGGCCAGGGACTCGGTGGCTTTAGAGAAGGACATCTTGACCTTCCCTGACATCAGTGATACATCTCTGAATGTGGGATAACATGCTATCTGACAAATAATGAGACAGGAGCTATGCCACCTGTCCTACAAGTTACATGTGCCACAAAGACAGACTGGAACATTCAGAATATGGCATTCCCTTCTACAGGCACCTCCAACACATCAATGGCACAAACGTAGAAAGGAAAACAACAAGCAAAGCCATGAGAGTAGCTTTCCAGATCCTGATAAAAGGCACTTGCTGCCAGGCCAGACAATCTGAGTCTAATATCTAAGAACCACATGGTAGCAGAACTGACTCCTGAAAACTGTCCTCAGACCTCCACACATGCCACAGCACACATGCACCCACACTCATGCATACACAAGTACAAAACATAAATAATGTTTAAAAAAAAAGAATATATACAAAAAAATTAAAAATAAAAATGGCCAGCAGTAGTGGCATACACCTTTAATCTCGTCACTCAGAAAGCCAGAAGGTGGATATCTGGGAGTTCAAGGTCAGCCTGGTCTACGGAGTGAGTTCCAGAACAGCCAGAGCTACACAGAGAAACCAAAAAAAAAAAAAAAAAGATATATACATACATGCACATGCACACACATATGTATATATGTATCTTTCTATATGAATTAAAATGATGAAACAAACCTGTAATTCCAGCATTTAGAAGGCCAAGGGAGGAGGACCACGAATTCAAGACCAGCCCAAACTCAAAAAACAAAAGGAAGTGGGAAGAACTGGAGCAATGGCTCAGTAACTGAGACTAAGAACTGCTTTTCCAGAGGACTCAAGTTCGATTTTCAGACGTGTCAGGCGGCTCCCAACTTCTGTAACTCTAGCTCCAGGGGATTCAATGCCTCTGGCCCCCAAAGACCTGAAACTCAATGTGTATAGACCCTTGCAGAGATACATAATTAAAGTAACAAAATGAGTTATAAAAATTTAAAAACAAAAAATAAGCGAACTAAAATAATGCAGAATGACACCCTGGTTCTGCCCTCCTGCCAAAAAGACTACACACTTTTAAACTAGTTTATAAAGTGTCTGCAGGAGAATGTAGTAACTTTTGATCTCTAGATGTAGAAGAAAGTGGCAAATACTAGCTATAAAGTGTAAGCAGGCAGAAAGGCGGTGTGGACAGAAACTGCATGATCATCAGCAAGTGCACTCCACTGCCCTGTGGAAGCCTTCCCACCTCCACCCGTCGCTGCCAGCTCTCCACAGAGAAGAGTCAGGAACATAGAATGAGAAAACAGACAATGGGCTGACAGACGATTGAGGCTGAGAATGGCCAAGCTACATCTTCCTACCACAGACAGTCCAGCTGCGATGGGCTAACTATAATCAAAGCAAATGGCACCAACTTCTTAACATAACAGAAAGCGGCACCTTAGCATAACACAAATGCAGCTTTACACTTTCAAGTAGTCAGAACAAACACAGAAAAAACAAACAGGTCAAATTATTTTAACAGTACATTTTGTTTAGCCCAGTACACCCGACTTGCAACACATCTCCCTTTGACTAGCAACACTCCAACAGCCCAATAACCAGCGGTAACTGGACAGTCCAGACCCAGACATAACAGAATACGGAACACAAGCCCTTGGACTTCATGGAAACTACACATCCCAGTAAGGTGATAGCTGGGACGATGCCTCAACATGTGGGCAACAACAGGAGTCAGCCTGTCACATTTCTATCAGCATCACTAATCAGCTTTATTTTCAGATAGATTAGGCACAAGTTTTAAATAGCCCACCCTTGGATACTTAAGTAACTAGACTACAACAGATATTAAATAAAATCAAAATACCTCCAACATTTTCCCTGAAGCCTTTTTCCAAGCTCTGAAATAAATTTCTGCAATGTGCACCATCAAAGACCTATTAAAAAAAAAAAAAGATGTTAATAGATATTTAAACATTATACCTTTACCATATACCACCACCCTTCAGTCACCCTCCTGCCCTAGGAAGAGGAAACTGACATAGGATCATCTGCAATGTTACCTGCCCGAGATGGAAAGAGGAGGATGACAGGATTGGGGAAAGGAGGCTGGAGAAGACTCCTCAGTCAAGGCCTCAGTACGAGCACTACCACTTCCTGGGACGCAGTGACAGCACAGGCTCAGAACTAACTCTAAAGTCAACACTTCAGATGTGGGCTGGGGAGAGCTCAGCTGGTAACGGCACTTGCTGCCAAACCCAGTGACCTGTCAATACCGAGATGCCAACTGGTGGGAAGAGAGAAGAAGTAACTCTCACCTCCACCTGTGTGCTATGGCACACTCACACCCATACCCAAATACATAAATCGTTAAATACACTAGTTCTTTACATACAGGAAAAGTTGCAATAGAATTCAGCTTTAGAATCACCTAAGTTTAGAAATTAGTTCAGCAAAAATATTTTACAAAAAAGGATATATGAGAAAGCAATCTAGAATACAGCAAGAATTCGGCACTCGGATTAGAATCAAATCCCAACTCAGTGCTTATACAGCTACCTGACACTAAGGAATTTAGAAACTGTAGCCTACCTCAGATGTAGGAAATGCTTTTTTTAAAATGCAGAGGAGGTACTCAACAAAGCACCTAAGCAAATGCACACACTTGCATGGAAGCTCTGACTGCTGAGTACAGGAAGTACTAGGCTAGAACGTCGTGCCTCTGGCTTTTCCTACTTACACAGCTCCTCACAGCAACCACACAGCTCAGCCCATACTCAATTAGATGGGGCACTCCATACTCAAAATGTCCCCTGAATACTAATGACATGGACTTCGTTGTGAATGAGACAAAGCTCTAACTGTCAAACACCTGACAAAAGAACCACCACTGCTTTCTGCTCCAGCTACTCCAGAGACTGGAGACCAACCTGGGCAGCAAACATACCATCTTGAGGGAAGGGAAGAGGAGAACTAAGAACTACAAGTTCAAATATCAATTTCAATATCACTACTGGAAAAATGACTTATTAGAGGAAAACAACTACCTAGTATTTTAATATAAACAGGGTGGTGCTTCACAGCTGCAACAGGGAAGCTGAGGCAGTAAGAAGTCACAACACACACATACACACACACACATGCACCATTCACACATACACACATACCACACACACACACCATGCGCACACACCAGACACACACACATACACTACACACACACACACACCATGCGCACACACCAGACACACACACATACACT